GGGCGATGTCGACCAATTAGGCATTGTACGATGTCTAATGCGAAACATCGCGATGGACGATGCCATACTTGTCGTAGGGGGTGGTGAATAGATTTTTTGTATGTGTCAATTTTTCCATGGGACTCTGGCATGAAGATCGATCTGTGTTGTTATAACAGATAAACCTGGTTGGTAAAAAAGGTGCCCAACCCACAGTATCTGAGGTTTTCACTAAAATTACTAAGCACAAGCAAAAAAGCAGAAGATTGAGGCGATGTAGTGACGCTGTGACACGCTACTTGATAGATTCAAAAGACATGTTTGCAACAAAGTGCTGTCCCACACTTTAACCAGCGAAGTCCTCATCGAGATCTGCTTTGAGTAACGAATCTTTTTCCGATAAAATTAAGTTGAATGGTTCATTGGTTCAGAAAGCTTTATTTTACCATCACTAACTACACATACATGTAGCAACGACGCAAAGCGCAAGCTCTGTGATTGTTCGGGTTGGTAGTTATGACAAGTATGGGCAATGCTGAGAGCCACGCAAGCCCGATGGAGCGAGTGTTTACAAGTGTTGAGTCCCAAGAAGGAGCTCTAGATCAGTGGTTCTCAAACTGTGGTACGTGTACCACTAGTGGTACGAGGGCTTCCTTCTAGTGGTACGTAGAGGAATTAAATATGTCATATGTACATGCTACATATTTAAAAATCTATCAAAAATTATTTTATATATGAATATGATAACATATAGCCTATATTTATGAGGTCCAGGCAACATTTCCAGGTGTTGATAAATAGGCTACTACATGTTAATACTTTACATTTAGTACAGATGTTTTTTTTACCATTTAAAAACAATAACCTGTAATTTTTAACGTTTAAAAGCACATTTTAATTTAAATGTTGACGTTTTTAGTTTTTTGTATTTATTTTTTAAATACAGTGTTAATATTCAAACTATTTATACGTTTAAAGTGGCTGACAAAAATAAATAGGAATTAAAACAATAAAATAGTAGGAATTAATCTGCCTCGTTTTGGAAATGTGCAGAGCTGTAGCTGCTTTACTGGGCCTACTACGCTACTTTATTTCAATACTGCTCATTTTGGTGGTACTTGGAGAGACAATTTTTTTCCGAGGTGGTACTTGATGAAAAGAGTTTTGAGAACTACTGCTCTAGATGAAAACTTTTGTTTTGTGTTTACATTATGATTAAAGTTGTTGCACGTCTGCCAGATCCCACATCTGAATGAGCGAGTTTTAGCTACTTTTATATTAAGGTAGAAAAAAACTAAATAAAAACCCAACATCCGCAAAGAAACTGGACACAAAGGAACATAAAAACCTACTGTCAGCCAGCGCTTCGGAAGTGTTATTGTGGAGCGACACAAACAGCGCACAGAAGTTTAATAGCACGGCTACATGCAAGGCAGGCGCCGTGGGTCCCACCGATCACTTGACGCATAAGAATAAATCAGCCTTAAAAGTTGAGTTGCATTTATTTATTGCTAAAAACATCCATATAAAAGACGTACACAGAAGTCACGTTGCATTCCAAGTCCTATAAAGTCATACAAGTAATGCAAATAATGGAGTCATTCATGAGACTTAATTGCTGAAAACTATTCGTTTCCCATTTGCTGATCTCCTCAGATTTATAATGCTCCAGCACATTAGCGTGATGCGATTGGTCATGAGACACAGAGGAAGCCAATAGCAATCGAAAACCGAAGTCGATGTAAGATCCTTTTTTTGGCTGCAATATTTACATTTGTGAAGCAGCACAGCAAATGGAGATGGTGATCACTATAATGCTGAGGTCCACACAATCCATTTGTGATGGGGCAGCATGAAGGAATTAGGTTGATGTATTAGTTTTTACAAATTTAAGTGGATTGAACATAAACCAATTAAGTTAATCCTAAAAACCCTCAAAAATTGTGTCATTTCAGCTCATTTTATATAAATACTCTCAACAAACAGCAAACATAGGTTTTTTGTTTTTGACTGCCATGGTAGACTTGGAACGTTGATATATTTTCAATAAATTGTGACTGTATATGCATCTTTCTTGCTGTATCCTTTGTTTTATATTGACGTAGTTAAGTTTAATGCTAGGAGCCAGGGTACGTGCTCATACAGTAAATGTATTCCTAGAGTAATGGAAACAAAATAGTTTTGAATTTACTTTAGGAAAACTCGCACATCAATAACGGCAAAATATATTCACGTATGTGGTCACAATAAAACTGCCAGTGAATTTTGCATCAGCATATTGATTCCAAAAGTTTATCATGTTTATCAATGTAAGGCAAAGGCATACCCCAAGTCTCACAGAGTGACAAGAATGAGTCCTGACTGAACATCAATAGAAGTGACGAGTTAGGAGTAAGACTGTGTTGTTTTCAAAGCAGTGCAGTGGAATTTTCAGTGGATTTGTCTTTGAGCTATACTCACTTTGCACTTGAGACGAACTCATCAGCATATGTGGACAATCTGTCAGTGCACATCAAGGAAA